TTTCAACTTTTGGTCTTGGAAATTTAGTTTTTATAAACCCTCAAAATTTATTTACCCTTCAACAATTCAAGTCCTTCAGAAGCTAGTAGAGATGCGGATTATGTCGCATTGTTAAGTCACTTGACTGATAGATAATTAGATATTAGCAAATAAGTCCTTTTTTACAAATTATTTTTCCTATTTTCATAATTTCGATAGATTAGGTCATAGTCGTAACAGAAGACGGGCATAGCTAATTGTATTTGTGAATCTTTCTTTAAAAAAAAAAAAAAAGTCTGGCATAAAAATATGCTCCGTTGCTCCAAGTGGCAGCACTTTTGACCTAATCATGTTCCATGATTTTCTAATCAAGTGTTATATATATCCATAAAATTTTTCATTTAAAGACGCAACTTTGTTCAACACATTTTTTTTTTAATTTTTTTGTTTTAAAAAAATTAGCAACTTTATTTTCTACCCGCACACACATATATATATATATCACCACTTCAATTGAAAATATGGTGCAATAATTGAACGAGTGCCAATTCAATCACAAAACTTCAATTACATACTCGACCACCAAATTAAATTACCAATTAAACTTGATAACTAAATTAAAGCTTAAAAAATTATTTTAAATAGCTATAATATTCTATTTATACTTTTACATATAAATAATGGTTGAAAATCATATGAATGGTAGTATTGTACCATAATATTCAGTGAAATTATAATTATGATTTATAAACGTATTTCAAAATATCTCACTAAAAGTCGTATATATATATATATATATATATATATATATATATATATATATATATATATATAATAGTAGGCTCTTAATAATAATCTATACTAAAATAAAATAATTCCAAAATCATTTTTACAATAAACGTGCCAACTTCACAGAATAATTTATCTTAAAATAGTTTTAAATCTTAAAATAAACTTTATCTTTGAGTTTGTTAATTTTGAATACATTTGATATTTTTTAGTGAATTTTTGATACTATTTTAAAAAAAATTTCTTTAAAATTCTAGATTCAAACCAAATTTGTTTCTTGTGGAAAAAGAAAAAAGAAAAATTTCCCAATTTTTTAAAGATAAAAGCGAGAAGAAAATGAATACAAATCAACATAAAAATATAATGTAAAATTTGGCTGATTAAGTCACTTGCAACAGTAAACTTTAATTTTTCAAAAAATTCACCAATTTCTTAAGATAAAATTTATTTTTGTAAAAAATTACATATGAAAGTTATTTCCTTATATGTACTTGTACTTTTATGACATGTACCTTATATTATACTAGTTTTGTGCCCGGACGATGCTCAACTTGTTGATAAAATTTCAGTATAAACTTTATTTGCTTGAATGTTATATACGGTCCTACAATATATCCCTTTTGATAATGTAGGACATTTAGACATACGATGCCATATCACTTATTTAATTAATTAATAGTGTACTCTGTGTAGTTATGTTTGTAAAAAGATGTCTATGTTATTATTGACTTGAAATTATTTTTATTAAACTTAAATTATTTTATTTATTTATTTATTTATTTATTTATTTTTACTAATTCACTATTATTTTTTAAATAAATTGAATTGAATATATTATAACTGGATCTTATTTTAAAGAACTCAAGTTATAGGATATTTATTAAAAGTTATGATTAATTTTGTATATATGAAATATTAGAAGTATATTGATAATAAAACTCTATACAACATTTTTATCTTAAAAAAAAAATATTCAAAATTCACTTACTTAGTATCATATGTATCACTATAATATCTATTTTTCGCTTACGTGGCGCGACACTTGGCGAAAAACTGGAATGCCAAGTGTTGCTGTCTCGTGGCCTGAATGCGAGACCGACTTTATTTATTAATGATATGATATGATATTTATATATATAAGGCAATTTATATTTCACAAAACAAAAACAAAAAAGCAAAAATAAAATATTAAAAAAAGTTTTTGCATTAATTCCTTATTATTGGACTGTTGATACATAGGCCATGAATTATACCTAAGCTCAGGATCCGGGAGGGAAGCTCTAACAACTTGAGCTATCCCTCACTCTCAGTATTTCTAACAATTGATACATATAAAGTTAATTTTTACGAGAAATAAAGAGACTAGTGTATCATGTTCACAAAATATAATTGACAAAAAGAAATTAATAACAAATAAAAATAGAGTTTGATATTCCAATTTACGAGAGTGAAGTTGTGATCTAAGTGACTTAGACTTGATTTTTTAATTTATTTTTCATATTATATAAATATTAATGTAATATATTTTTTTGGTTACTTATATTCATTATAGAATGTATCAATATTTTATATTCATTATAGAATGTATCAACATTTTATATTTTATACTATTTAAAAATGAAAAATGCTATACAAATCCCTTAGGGAGTTATACGAGGAGCTAAAAATGGAAAAATAAATGAAAACATAACAATAATTATACTGATGTGAGCGCGATTTTATCTTTGACTGGTTGATGTATTGACAAACATGCCAATATTTGTTGCGCTTAGAAAAATCAATGTTTTTTTGTTGTTGTTTTGAAAGCCACAAGGATAGGGGATGAGAATCAATACCAATCTCCTGAGCTATCCCTCACTTTTAGTAAAAATAAAAAAATAAAATAATGATTCGTATGAGACGAACAATGAAAGTAAAAATGGAAGAGATTTGGGTAATTGACTAATTGGTGATCCAAATATTTGCAAGTTGCAAGTTTGCAACATCTCTTTTTCGTTCTCATATCTTGAAGCGGTCGATGCTCGCCTCGCGCCCTTTCCAGTATGTTGTCTCTCTCTCAAACACATTCAAATTTTTACTATTTCTGCTTCATACATGATTAATTATGGCTGCATGCATCACTTCTAACATTGCTTTCTGCTGCTGAATTTCGAGTATTCTACTTCAAATTCTTAAGTAATCACTGTATATTCATCTCTTAATTTCATCTTTTGATTTCCTACGCATTTTATTTGACTGTCAAATGAGTTTGATAGGGTTAAATTTGCTAATTTTTGATTAAAATTGTTGCTAATTTAGTTTTTCTGGATGCTTATAGCTTGATTTTGATATTCCGTAAGTTTGATTGAATATTATCAATTTGTTCAACTTAATCTGCAATTTAGGGCTGCGTTTAAGCTTAATCGCACTTTACTTACTAGTTTTAATACTTATTAGGTTATTGGCCTTAGAAATTTAGATTTGCTCCTTTTTTTTTGGAACAAAAGAAATGAAGGGTTTGAGGGGTTAAAATGTGTGCAATCATACCTTAAAATCATGTGATAAAGAATATACGCAAACAATTCTTCACATGATATATTCTGTGAAAGAGTATCATTGTGAAACCAGATCATTTGGGAAAAATTCTCGAATTTTGTTTTCTTTTTGTAACAATCAAGAGATAAAGATGGAGGAAGCAGGTATTACTCTTTTTTTCTTTCTAAAAACCAATAATATAGAATACATTTCTATTTTGGACGGTCCATAAATTCTAGTAGTTAAGACACCATCGTCAACAACAATTATAAAATATCGGATAGAATCATACAATATAAGAAGTACAAATGAGAACAATAACTATGTTTACTAGAGTACCATACACATAAGTACAAAGTAAGACGGAAAAGAGATAAGAAAGAGATTCTATATTTATGGTGAACTGTTTGAATCCTAACCAACAACCGAATTCTAATAAGGATTTGACAAGTTTTTGAAAAGCCTTATTGTGCTTTACAAGTTAAAAATTTCGTTCGAAGTTTTCTTAGGCTTAATCTTCTCTTAATACTTATAACTCCTAATCAAGGCATTTAAATGCTTCTCTTCCATTATACTTTTTTCTTCTCGCATTTTTTTATAAGTGCATTACTCACACCTTATCTCTATATTTGTTAATATAATGTCTTATTGTGCGGTTGAACACCCAATTGAGCATCCTCATTTACACTAGCATAGTCTTACGGGCTTTAGGCTACTTAGTTGGTTAACACTTTGGAGGATAGCTGACCTAGTTTCTACACAATATGATTTTCCCTTCAATATTTGATGGAATATTCTTAGCTTACATAGTTCCTAAATCACTGCTCCATTTAATCAATTCAACATGGACATTGCAAGCAATGGATTTATCAGTCTTGTCGTTACCTTGAATGATTGTCCCTAAATATCTGAAATTCTATACTTTTGGTGTAGCATCTCTTTCAATCTTAATCTGAAGTTCCATGGTATCTCACCTTTTCCTGAATTTACACTTCAAGTACTCTTTTTAGTTCTTCTCAACTGGAATTTTTTTGACTTTTCAACAAAGTTCTTGTTATCCGCTTTGATGGGCCTTGCATGGTAGGACACTTCATGGTTGTAAGTTTTTGTATGAGGTATTCAGTATCTTTGACTTTGGGTTTAAATATCTAACTTACAAATTCAAGTTTGGAGAGTCAAAGTCTTAAATAGCTTCCTGTTAGTCTCTGTCTCTGACCTCACTTTGAATCTATTCATGGTCAGCTTGATTCTTTCGGGATAATTTCCAAGTCAGATGGATTATTTGCTTTGCTGCTTTCAATTGCTGAAACTTATTGCACCTACCTGCACTTTTTAGGAAGCACGAATATGGTTTCTTCATAGACTCTTTATTTTGTTTGTGCTAATTTTATAGTTGATGGAAGATATATTAGTTGTTTATATGAAAAAAGGTGAAAGGTAGGAAGCCCTATTGATTGTTTAAGATCCTCCCTTTTGGTCCAGCAGATCTGTACGACGACTGTACTCAAACATGAAGCATTTAGTTATGCATCCTTATAATCTGCTCAAACCTGTCTTAGCATTAGATATGAGAATACTTGCATTTTATTTGCCTGTGAAGAGATATCTTGTCCTGGAGTGGCTTATATTGCGAAGTGGCTTATGTTGTCCTGGAATGGCTTATATTGTGAATTATCAAATGTATATGTATATATGACATGTAAAAATTTTCTAGAGGATACTTGCAAAACTCTGTGATTTATTTTTCTACATAATGTGCATCTCTGCATTTGAACAATGTGTTTGAGAGTTTCTGATTGTATACAATTTATACTCACAAGAAATAGACTTTGTAGTTTGTACAAAGAGATTTCTGGCTTCTGGCACAATCAGCCAGTATGCTTCCCTATCAAGCGTAGCAAAAATCTTGCATAACATTTTAAAGTAATATAAAACCAAATGGTCCGCTGCAATGCACTGAGAACTGTCACCTCATTTCTACTGGACAATCTTGCTCAGACCTGGGTGTCTGTGGATAGGACCTTACATTCTTGAGCTGATCGACAACTTCGTTGATAGTTGGCCTTACCTGAGGGTTCTGGTTAACACACTTACAGGCCACTTCAAGCACCTGTAGCATTTCTTGCTCATATCCTTTGCCTCTCAGGACAGAATCATATATTTCTTCATGTTTTCCTTCATGTTTCAATTGTTGCACCCATACAACTATTTCTCTTGATGCCTTTGATTTGGATACCTCTACAGGCCTCTTCCCAGTGAGCAGTTCAAGCATTACAACACCAAAACTGTATATGTCGCCTCTTAATGTGGCTACCCAAGCCTGTCCATACTCTGGTGGAATGTACCCAAGGGTTCCAACGAGTTCGGTTGTAACATGAGTTGCATAAGGGAGAATGAGCCTGGATAATCCAAAATCAGCAACATGTGCTTCAAAGTTCTCATCAAGGAGAATGTTACTTGACTTTATGTCACGGTGCACAATGTGTGGTTCACAGATTTGGTGCATGTAAGCCAGCCCCTTACCTGCTCCAAGAGCTATTTTCAACCGCAGTGGCCAATCAAGTTGGGATGGGCCATTAGGGTTCTCATGCAACCAGTAGTCAAGGCTTCCGTTTTGCATATAGGAGTACATCAGTAGCCGAAGACCATCATGGACACAATATCCTAGCAGAGAAACCAGGTTTTCGTGTTGGGCCATTGATAGAGCTTCCACCTCTGCTTTGAATTCTCGTTCAATCAGACACATATCTCCTGAAAGCTTTTTGATAGCAAGCTTAGCTCCATTGTTTAAGGTTGCTTTATAAACCAAACCGAATCCTCCACAGCCAATGATGTTTTCCTGGTTGAAATTGTTAGTGGCTTTCAGTATGTCCAGTATTGTCAGATCCTTGATCTCAGTGGTATAGCTTGGGAAGACCATTACTAGACTGGTATCTTTGCCAACCTCTCGGGAGCTGGAGTAACCGGAATTCATTTCTGTTTCCAACTTGTCATTGTCACCCCCTGGAAGGATCCTTCTCTTGGACATTATCCAATATACCAGAATCATGAACATGCATGAAAATCCTAAGCAGACACCAAGGGAAACCCCCAACAACAGTTTCTTGTTTAGGCCTTTGCCATGAAGAGACTGACGTGCAGTTCCTGGGATCGATTGTTCTGAACAAGGATGATGCTGCAAGACTCGACCACATAACCCTGGATTCCCTAGAAAGCTAGATTCTGTGAAAGTGTCAAACTGACCTCCTGTCGGTATTGAGCCCTCTAGGTTGTTGTTGGAGACATTGAACTTTGATAAGAAATTCAGGCTTTGCAATGATGCTGGGATTTCTCCAGTCAAATTATTCTGAGAGAGGTCTAGCTGTTCTAGGTTTATGAGGTTTGAAAACTCTGGTGGGATGCTGCCTGTGAATTGGTTTTCACTGAGATCCAGTATATGAAGATTCTGTAGCTGACTTATTTCAACTGGTATGTTACCACTGATTTTGTTGCCCTTGAGGTATATTGCTGGAGGCAGGTTTGCTAGCTGGTTGTATTGCTGTGTACTTGCATTATTGGGGGCGACAAAGACTGGGAGCTCAAGGTAACTTCTATTCAATTTTTTAGCGACCTTCTCTGATAACAACGCTGGCAGTCTGTTGAGTTGCTTTGGATAACCTCCTGTTAGAAGGTTGTTTGACAAATCCAAGTAGAAAAAGTTTGGCAGAGTTCCAATCCAGTCCGGAATCGTGCCTGTGACTTTATTGAATGACAAGTCCAGAACCTCCAGACTCTTTATATGTACAAGCCACTCTGGAACTTTCCCCTTCAGTTCACATCCTCCAAAAGCGAGAACCTGCAGGTTTTTGAATTCGTCTGCCCCTATGAAGCTTTTATCACTAGGCATAATTTCATTATAAAAGTTTTTTGACAGGATAAGGGTGGTGAGGCTCCTGCAACCCGCGAAAATCTTGATTGCGTTTGACACATTGGTGAAGGTATTGTTAGAGAGTGAAAGGAAAGTTAAAGATGGTAAAGTCACGACATTAGGTGAAATCGGTCCTGTTAAGTGGTTGGTGGCTACTCTGACTGCCATTAGTGATTTGCATGAGAATAAGCTCTCTGGCAAATTTCCCGTGAACCTATTGTTACCAAGGTCAAGTATTTGGAGTTGGACTAGGCTTGAAAAATCAAGTGTGGAGATGTTACCTTGCAGGGAATTGACTCGTAAAATAAGCTTTACGAGTTTTGTGCAGTTCATCAAGGATGCTGGTATAGAACCACTGAAATTGTTTATGTGAAGGTGCAATTCCTCCAAATTCGAGAGTTTCCCAACATCCAGAGGGATCATTCCAGAAAATTGGTTTGAGAACAACTCGACGACCTTGAGGTTGGTAAGGTTAAGCATGCCTTCTCCAATGGTTCCACGTATGCTATTCGCAGGCACGGACAATTCAAGCAGCGACTGCAAGCTGTAAATGTCATCAGGAAGTAATCCGGTCAGAGAATTAAAACCGGCCCGGAAAACTTGGAGTCTGGTGCATCTGCCTAGTCCAACAGGAATATCTCCATCAAAATGGTTGTTGGAGAAATCAAGGGTTATAATCATAGGAGAAGTGGTACATATGGATGAAGGAATCTGACCAGATAATCCATTATTGCTGGCATTAAAATTGGTCAAATTCGATCCCGAAAAAAACCAAGCAGGCTCTATCTTTCCATGAAATTGATTACTTGAAATATCAACAACCTGAATGGCAGAAGGGAAACTACCATTCAGCAAAATAGATGCTGACAAGTTGCCATCAAAACGATTCGAGCTAACATCAATGATCTCAAGTCTATTCAACGAACTAAAAATCCCTCTAGGGAGGAACCCAGAAAGAGAATTATGAGAAACATTAAAGTAAGAAAGACTTGTAAGGCTCTCAAACGAAACCGATATATTGCCCGTCAATCCTCTCCAAGGTAACGACAGCCATACAACCCGGCCCTTATCATCGCAACGTATTCCTTCCCAGGAGGAGCAGCAATCAGAGACAGAACTCCAATTAAGTGGACCAACAGAAGAGGATACCGAATGAGAGAATCTAAGAAGCGTTTGCTGATCGTTTCGATGACAAAGCTGCTGGTGCTGCTGATGGGAGAATGTGAAGGAATATAACAGTAAGATGAAGATAAGATGGTAACAAGAACAAGTACTGGTTTGAGAAAATGAAGGGTGATGAAGAAACTCAACAAGCATGGCTTAAAGAATGAAATTAAATTTTTGGTAAGTATGTATGTAAGTAAGTTTGTTGTAAGTGTGATTAATGAATGTTATTGTTGGTAGTAGGGGACAGTTTATTTTGGTATGGTTTAATTCAGCTGTGATTGATCAGAAAAACCAGAAGAAGAAGAGGACGTGAAGATGGGTGCTTGGTCCAGTCATGTGGGCTTCCACTTCCCATGTTTGTATGCTTACCCATCTTCAACTCTTTGCTCTAAGGTCAGAGAATTTTAATCATATTATAAAATTTTTATAATATAATATGGAAATAAAATCAAATAAAATAATTTGATGTTGATGTGGATTTCTTTTTTATTTTTGTATTTTAAATAAAAAAATTGAAAAGATTAATTTTTTTGTATTTGCCAAAAAGAAAAAAGGTTACAAGAAAGCGTTTACTTTTAGGGCGGCTATATGGAGGAGAGTGGACTTTGATTAAAAAAGATGGGTTTTTTTTTTTTTTTTTTTTGGGGGGGGGGGGGGTTTAAGATTAAGGTGTATAAAATAAAAGCAGGGAAGATTTAGGAGAGAAAAATAGAGTTAATATGATGAGTAATGATATAAAATTAGTAGTGATAAAAAGTGATTAGATTATGGATAGTGGGCATCAATTTGGAATTATTTAATTACTTGTATATGGTTATTATAAAAATAACAATAATGGTTATGATAACAAATGTCACACTATATAGTATAATTATGATTGATGATGAAAATGATATTTGGGTATTGGCAATGACATAATACTTTGAGGAGAGAGTGCTCTTGTTAATAATATTCTTTTTGAAGTCTACCATCTTTGTTTGTTTCCCATTTTGGACCCCCCACTTCCTTTTTTTTTTTTTTTTTTTCACCCCCACCTTCAATAGCATCATACACACGTTTTTGGTAGCTTGTGGGCAAAATCATAGCCAATATTGACTCTCATATAGTTTTGTGAAAGCCTCATTCTAAGAGGATCTTATATTCCTATATATATGTATGCTCTCCCCCTTCCCTAGTGACCTAATTTTATTCAGATTTTTATTTGGTATCAATCATATCAACGATGAATGACGAGGGTGTTAATTTCATGAAATTGTGAAATTACGACAGAATCAGGAGTTTTTTGATATATAAATATTTTATTCTTAATTATGCAGATTTTCCATTCTTGTTTGACTCTTACTAGAAGGATCTTTAAAGATTTATGAAGTCAATGTTAAATATAAATTGCTTCTAGCAACCCCTTTCTTTATAATCATGCAAATTAATCATCATACATCATATTTTATCACACGCTTAATATTGTTGAGTACTCCTTTCACATATGTTGAAAAAAATGAGGAGTTTGATAATTGAATTAGTATAAAATAGATTTTAAATTTTGATAATTGGTTGAAAGGTAATTGGTTGTGTCATAAGCTATACAACAGTTTGTACTTGATTATGTTTATAATTAGTGTTAGGCTTGTTTTTCCACAAGGATTTTTTTAATAGAAATAAGTTCTTTTTGTTGAAATATACATGTATTGTATAGTCTGTATTAGATTATTTAAGTTGATTATACAATATGGTTTGTCTTATAGTGTTCATAGCATAGATCCCGTGAATTGCAAAAATACTAAGATTTAGCTTAACAAAAAAAAAAAAAAAGAACCATTATTGATATTTTATTTCTCATCTATTAGTTTGTTTTAACATTTGTACTTTGTATAATTCCCTAAATAAGTTAAATAATTTATTTAGATCCCTTTAAATTTTTACTAGTACATAGAAAACCAGTTTGAAAAGAAATTTTACCAAAAAAGTTGGTCATTGTTTACTTGAATTATCTAAAATAAAAAATTAATAAGTTTGCCTTTTATGGCCAAGGCCAACCCTACCTTTGGCTGTGGTTCACTGTTGAAATCCTTATCATAAATTAGAATGTGTTAAGTTTATTTTAGTCCTCTAGTGGTGTTTTGGCTTTATTTATTTAATTACAAAACTTTTTCCTGGCATATATTGGTTAGTTTAGATAGTTGGTCTTTCTTTTGGCACCACTTTGTTAGACATTTATTTGAAATATGCCTGTTGAAAATTTTGGCCACGGAATAATTGAGCACGTATAGGAATAAGTCTAATAACTTTTCCCTTTAAACGTTATATTTTTTAATATATAAAAAGTTAATATTGAAAATATACATTGATGTGGTTTAAACAAGATAATAATGAACTTGTTTATTATAATTATAAATCATAAAAGCTTTTAAAAATAGAGTTTATAAATAGTGTCAAAAATCAAAACGTGTCAACTGAGTTTATGAATATTGGAGGAAGTTTTTGGTATAATTGTTAGCCAATACTCATCTTTGAGTTCTTAGAAGCAAATGAGAGTAATAAACAGCAAGTTTATCAACATTACTGATTTTAACTTGGCTCAACTAATAATTGAATCCATAAGATTTCATTTTAGTTAGATCTTAAGTTACAAATCGACAAATTGTGTTCGAGTTGGATCTCTTGACTAGCTGAGCTCAAATACAACAATCCCGAGACAAACTATGTATGTATTAAGTAACTTTTGAACTCAATTGAATCCGAATAACATACGTACATAGGCCCTGTTTAGTTCACCTTAAAAAAATAATATTCAGTAAAAATAATTTCAATTCAGTAAATTTAAGTTTTAGTTAAATAAAAATCAGTAACTCTTAAGAAAAATATAATAGTGAATTAGTAAAAATAATTTCAGTTTAGTAAAATTAATTTTAATTTAGTAAAAATAATTTAAGTTTAGCATAAATAATTTCAATTCTGTAAATTAATTTTAGTTCCATAAAAATAAGATAAGTAAATATGACCTTACATACTTTGTACTAAATACTCAACTTGACTCAACTCAACTCTATAGCTATGATCCTAAATTCGTAATGCCTTTGACGCGGCAATTCTGAATTCCTGACTTGTTTAATTCCGATTGAAAAATCAACTCTGTTATTTCTTCCTGATTTAGTCAAGAATATAAGATCAAATGCCCTCTTCTATATAAAAAAATAAAATATAAATTAAATGCCCCATTATATATAAATATATATATATATTTTTAAAAACACAGTTGTGGAGAATTTGAGAAATTTCCTTGTTGATTTCTTTCATAGAAGGATTTAAAATTTGACTAAAATTCTACTCTGATCAAGCTCTTTACAATATTCAACGGCTAATAAATAAAATGCTAGACTATTATGCAAATGACCTCATTTTTTATTTTCTTTTGTCCCCAAGAATTTTCTGATTTTAGGGGCGTAATATTTATTTTCCTAAACTAGTAAAGTTTGACCCTTTTTTTGGATTTAATGATGGGATTTTGTGGAGGTGGGTCAGCAAAAATATTGATTATGCACAAATCAGATTAATTCGTTTGGTGGGCATTTTAATAAATTGTCAAATTTATTAGATATTTAGTTAGTTGGGAAATTATAGGCTTATTAGGGGAGATATAATGATTACATATTTGTTAAGTGTCGATGCCAATTAGCTTAGGTTTTTTGTTACTGTGTTTAAGTCGTAGGGTGGTAACCAATACATTAGATCAAATCCCGTCTATATTATTGTAGAGCACCCTTAAAAACTTGTTTAGTAGAAGTAGTGAATTAGAAGATTGATTTTGGAGTGAGTGAAAAAAGGTAGAGAAAAAGGGGAAAAAAAGGTGTCAATTTGGTGGGAATTATGATTTTAATTAATATAATATACTTCACTTGGTATGATTTTTCTGTTTAATGTTGTCCAAGTATTAATGTTTGTGATTTGGTGGTGTGTAAAGTTAATGAGATTATTAATAGCATATTCCGTAAATTATGAGCTTAATTTAGGGATAAGAATTAGGTCAAGGGGATGTGGGTTATTGATTGATTGATTTTGTATTTTTGTAACGATTAAGGAAAAGAATGTTATTCATTGGTTGAATATTTAATTAATATGACGATTTTGCTGTTAATTAGTTGTTGGGTGGTCTTTGTTATGATACTCCACTGAAGGAAGCTACTGATGATGATAGTAATACTTGTACTAGACAAAACTACAAGTGGGATTAAAATGATACTAATTTGAGTTAATTGCAAATAATAATTAATCATTAGCTTCCATGCTTATGGTTCATAGTTGCATTTTTTTATAAGTTAAGATGGGTATATGAACAATTTGTTGGTCACTCATGTTTGTTTAAGATCAGTGGGTTATATTGTTTAAAGTTGAAAGAAAGTATGATTTCATGTCACTACTAAAGCTGACTTTGCTAAAAAATTATCACTAAGTTTCTGTGTATGCTGTATGTTTGCTCTTCTGGGTTTTATATTGGTATTTGACTTAGTACGTTAGGTTTTCGAAAGCTCTTTGAGAAGAAACTTAGGTTTAGAGTCTTCTTCAGAAAGAGAGTGAAGAAATGAATGAAAATGATACCTTAGAATAGATAGAGCCGTCTATATTTGAGAATCATTGGCACAGTATCAGCACAAGATTATTACCCCAGGCTCTGTAAAGGGGTTCTTGTTTAAGGCGAATAGGGTAGCCAAGGTGGGTGGGGGGTTTTGGATTGTTTGCAGTATGATTTATGCAATAATAGAGACTTTTTAAATTTTAATAGATCCCTGATCTGAAGTGTGACAATCTTTACTACTGTACAATCAATAAGAAGTTAGAGACAATACTTTCCTGAACCATTGAACTTTTAGCTCTGTCGATAATGAATGGGTTTGAGAAGCTCTTGTATCAGAATATAGTGGCATAAGAATGGGTTTGAGAAGCTCTTGTATCAGCATATAGTGGCATAAGAACGGGTTTGAGAAGCTCTTGTATCAGAATATAGTGGCATGCTAAATTCATCTTGTATTCCTAACACTATGTTAATCAGTGAGTTAAAGAGAATTCTAGTGGAGACTTGCAGGCAGAAGTTAGTTTCTAGTGGAGACTTGCATGTCCCATGTCTTTAGGTTTTTGATGAATCACTTGACCACTCTGCTGTTGCAAAACTTTATGTTTATGCTATTGGTCTTATATGTATAGAAGAGCAAAGCTCACACATTCACACTTTAACTAGCATGTACAATGCTTCTCGCCTTAAAAATGATTACACTGAAGACTAACACTACTTCAAAGATTATCCTTCTTTACTTTTGCTATCATCTGTCTTAATCCTCTCCGATTTTGAAAAATTTGAGGTGTGTACATTGTTTTTATCTATTTTTTCATTCCCTGATTTTAAAGAGAGAATTGTTTTGAGCAATAACAATAGAAT